TCAATTTAACAAGCGTGTATTGACTGTCTTGTATACGCTGCAGATACAAAGACAAGAATGACACAATCCTTTTCTTCGAAGAGCTTACACTGGAATGATTTCAAGCATACAGCTGGGGGGGGCACTGCTGGGGGCACGTGTGTGGTGGTGGGGCAGTGCAAAGGCATGCCGATGGGATGTTGGGGGTCTTGCAGCAGAATTGGAGAGAAAGGCCAGTTTGACTAGGTTACAGAGCATTGGGAGGGGATTATGTATACTAAAGCAAGAAGGGTAGGTTGGAGGCGGGTTGTGAAAGATTTAAAAAGCCAAACTGAAGAACGTATTTTCATCTAGAGGTGGTAGGGAACCATGTGAGTTTATGATTAGGGGAGTAGCATGGTCAGACCCGGGCTCAACGAAAATTGCTTTGGCCATTTGTGGGGAGGGAAGAGACGACCAGTTAGGAGACTCTGGTAAGAAGCCAGGTCAGAATCGAAGCAGCCACTCTGGGAGCAGAGGGAAGTGGATGGACGCAGGAGATCTTGTAGGTATGGGTTTCTTCCTCTGTAAAAGGAAGGACTCACATGAGACGATCTCTGAGGTCAGTCCAATTATCAGTTAACAAGCACATATATAAAACATGAACTGTATCCCAGGCCCTGGGCACCATCAAGGAGCTTATGTTCTATCAAGTGGAAACAACATGTATGTATATAACAAAGTCTCTTTCAGCTTTAAAGTATATGACTCTAAATATACATATATATATATATATATACATATATATACATATATATATACATACACACACACATATATATGTATATATATATATATACATATATATGACTCTGACTTTAAAAAACAAAACAAAAACAGGATTGATTTTGAGGATTGAATATTTGGATGGAATATTAGCATGGTGCTTGGCACATAATAAGCTACATATAAATGCTATTATTGTTATTGCTAATTTATTTTAATGATAATAAATTAGGAAAATGACATGGATGCAGATCACTCTAGGCTGGTAGCTTTGATAGGTTTCCTGGTCTCATCCTAGATCTCAGGACCTCATCTCCCAAGGCAGGTCCCATTCCTTTGCAACTTCTCCTTTTATGCTGTTCATATGCATTTCTTTCAATAATTCTTGCACAGAGACCCCATCTAGTCACCTGGAGGCCTTCCTGTGGTTCTCTGACTATCTCAGGGATACCAGTGTAGCACTTTTTAAAATGGGAGATAAAAAAGATGGAAGTCTTAGTACCTGTACATGAACATACGTAAGAGACTGGGCCAGATGCTTATATATATATACACACACACACACGCACACACACACACACACACACACACACACATGCATATACATACGTACATATACACACACACATGCATATACATACATACATAAGAGACTGGGCCAGATGCTTATGTATACACACACACACACACACACACACACGCATATACATACATACGTAAGAGACTGGGCCAGATGCTTATATATATATATATACACACACACACACATATATACACACACACACATGCATACATATACATACATGCATACACACACATATGCATATACATACATACATAAGAGACTGGGCCAGATGCTTATATATATATACACACACACACACATGCATATACATACATACATACACACACACACACACACACATATATTAATCATCCAAGATTCACTTTCTCAAGCTCCCATCCCAAACCCCTCCCCCACATTGAGAACATGAAAAAAACGAAACCCATTACAACATGTATAGTCAATTAAAACAAATGTCCACATTGTCCATGTACCAAAAATGTCTCATGTTGCATGTTGAGTGGTATACCTTATTACCAGGCGCTGGGTACCATATTTTATCCTTGGTCTTCTGGATTCCTGGTTGGTCATTAGCCTGATAAGAGTTCATTACAATAGCATTACATCACATTTGTGTACAATAACTTGTTCATTCATTCCCCCTTTATGGGCACCCTCTCCGATTCTCATCGTTACCATCTCAAAAAAAGCTATGAACATTTTTATACATCCTTAGGGTTTGCTTTGCTTTGGACTCATCAACCCCTCCTTAATCTACCTTCCCTCTGGTTCCTCCTCCCTCCTTCTCCCCTTTCCTTCCCATTTTCCTGCTTAGTGAAATGCGTTTTTGTACTTGTATTTTGTGTGTGTGCATGTGTGTGTGTGGGCATTCTTTCTTCTTTGGTCCAGTGCAAACGAGAGTGAGGTTTGTGTCAGCTGCCCTGCTCAGTTCCCTCCTCCTTGTTTCTATAGATATCTATTTGTACACCCTGATTATATGAGATAATTTCCCTTAAATTCCTTTTCCTTCCTCTCCTGCATATTCCTCTTCTTCTTTCTTTCTATTCTTTTCTTGACATCATCAAGATATAACAGACCCACTCCCAAGCCTTCTCTATCTGGAATAACTCTATGAATCCTGATGACGATCAGTTTTAGTGGGACCTTGTGCATCATCTCCCCATATTTTGATTCAAGCAGTTTATCCCTGTTCAGTCCTTTATCACAGTTTGTTCATGTGTACTTTCATATTCTCTTCACTTCTCTTCTTCACTCCTATTTCAAAGTTTCTATGTAGCTCTAGTCTTTTTTTTTTTAAAATCAGGAATGCTTGGAAGTCCTCTATTTTATTAAAGATCCATTTTTTCCTTGTAGGATTACATCCGGTTTTGCTGGGTAAGTAGTTCTTGGCTGTAAGTCCATATTGTTTGCCTTCCGGAATGTCTTTTATAATGGTGGCAGCTCAATTATGTGTGGTCCTGATTGTGGCCCCTTAATACCTGAATTCTTTCTATCTGGCTGATTGAAGTATTTTTTCTTTGACCTGGAAGCTTTGAATTTTGGACATGATGTGCCTGGGAGTTTTTATTTTCGAGTTGATACATGGTGGATTCTTTTTATTCCCACTTTGTCCTCTGGTGCTGAGATCTGGGCAATTTTCTTTTAAGATTTCTTGGATGTGCAGGCTCTGTTGTTTTGGTCATGGTGGTTTTCTCCTTGATCTGTTTTCAAGGTCAGTTGTTTTTTACAATGGGATAATTAACACTTTTTTTTTCCATTCTTTCAGCCATTTGGCCTTGTTTTAATATGTCTTTGTGCCTCATGAAGTCATTGGCTTCTACTAGGTCCATTCAAATTTTCACAGAGTTTGTTGCTGGGCAAGGTTTTGTGCCTCTTGTACCAAGCTATTATTTCTCTTTCCAATTCTATCTTTCATAATTCTCATTTGTTTTCCAGTTTTTCCCAAGTGTTCTCATTACATTTATTAGAAAAATAAATTTTTAAAAACTCTTCCTCTCTTCCAGGAATTTTAGTTGAGTTTGTGCCCAGGCTGTGTTTTTGCTCTGAGGCTTTGCTTGTAGATGTTTTGGAGTCATTCTCTTCTTCTGTATTTGTGTCTTGAACGGCCTTCATTATAGTGTTTGTTTTTGGTTTATCCATTCTTCCATTTTATTTTTTGACTTTTCGGAGTTGATGTTAGAGCTGGACTCCACCACACTTCTAGAAGGAAGGTCTGAGCTGGTCATGTTGCTGCTTCCTGAGATATTGAGTATTGGGTTATTTCAAGACCTTGGGGATGGGGTGTGAATTTGCAAGCTTTCAGTGCTCCCAGAGGGGTCAGATGCCAATTCTTTGCATTTGTCCAGTCAATGATGAGTTAGAACATTTTTCATATGGCTAGAGATGGCTTTGATTACTTCATCTGAAAACTGTTCATATCTTTTGGTCATTTATCAATTGGAGAATGGCTCTTATTTTTATAAATTTGATTCAGTTCTCTATATGTTTGAGATATGAGACTTTTGTCAGAGAAACTTGCTTAATTTGTTTTTTAACAATTACTGTTGCTAACTATATTTCCCTCTCTCCTATCCTCTCCCGTTTATTCTATTCTATTCTCTCTCTCTCTCTCTCTCTCTCATTTCATCCCGCCCCTCCTCAAAAGTGTTTTGCTTCTGACTACCCCCTCCCTATCATTATCCCCCCTTCATTTGCCCCCCTTCCTCTTTTACTTTTCTGTAGGCAAACATAGATTGCTATACCCAACTGAGTGTGTATGATATTCCCTCTTTGAGCCAATTTTGATGAGAGTAAGGCTCACTCACTCCCTCTCCCCTCACCTCTCTTCCCCTTCACTGTAAAAATATTTTCTCGCCTCTTTTATGTGAGATAATTTACCCTATTCTACCTCTCCCTTTCCCTTACTCTCAGTACATTCCCTTCCTATCTCTTAATTTTATTTTTCAGCTATCATCCCTTCATATTCAACTCACACCTGTGCCCTCTGTCTATATGCATCTATATACTATATACTATAAACTCTATATACTGTAGATGATATACAATATAGATATATCTATAGATTATATGCTATATACTCTATACTCTATATGCTAATTCTTAATGTCCCTTTTGCCATGCCAATCATCCCTGCTCTGTTCCATTTGTCCATCTGTCTCTCTCGTGTTCCACAGGCACTCACATGACCAGGCAGATTGGTCATAGATAAATAGATAAATTCTTCTCCTTAATGATATCAAAAGCAATGGGACTGTCCATTGCAATGAAGAGTTGATGCAGATCCTTTTCTGGCAACATAACAATTTGTCTCTCCTCTGCACTAAGAGCAAAATAGAGGCGAGTAGGACTTCTGTCTTCCTCTCGTGGTGGCTTTAGAGTGGGGGAGGGCCATCCTCTTTGCAAAAAAGCATGGCATAGTGGAAAGAACACTGGATTTGGAGACAGAGAACCTAGGTTCGAATTCTATCCCACCATTTAATTCACCCTCTACTTACGCAATCTTTCTTTTCTCTGGGCCTCCATTTCCTCCTTCCAAATGAAGGAGCTGTAGTAGCTGATATCTAAGGTCTCTTCCGCTCTGGATCCCAGTGTTCAATGCTCTTAAAAACACTTCAAATTGCAAGTAGGCCAGAGGAAAGCAACGTGACATTTCGCTTCCTAGTTCCTTTTCTCTGTATCTGGGCAGCTGCTGACTTTGTGTTTCCAGGATTGCTATCATGTTTTCCTTGGATTCTTAGAACACTTTCTTTGCCACATCGGCATGTGTTTGCTGAGTGGGTGGGGGATCCTGGTGGGCTAGTATCAGAAAAAGAGCCTTTAAGTGGAGGGGAAAGGAACTACAGAGAACAGCGGAGCTCTGGGAGTCATTTCCTTGCTTGGTACCTCAGCTTCCCGATCAGGAAAATGAAAGTGTTGGGGTAGAGATGCCTGTTGCTTTAGCAAGGGTGACAGGGTGCCACCTTCTCAACAAGCAGCCAACACCCCCCTGGATTCTAGGACCTTTAACTGTCCCACCCCCTGAGCTAGGAACTAGGTTTGCTTAGTAGTTGCTCAGTGCCTATAATTTTTGGAGTGGTAGGAGGATGTGTGTGTGTGTGTGTGTGTGTGTGTGTGTGTGTGTGTGTGTGTGTGTGAGAAAGAGACAGAGAGACAGAGAGAGACAGAGACAGAGACAGAGAGGTTCTAATTTTGTTTAATTGGTAAAGGGAACTCCCAGGATAGAAATTCCTTCCCTTGATGCAGACTGGATACTCATCTACAACTCACCTTCTTAAAGAGTTGCCTAGGTGGGCTCTGTTCTAAAAGTTCATTTGTAAATCAATTGTTGAAACTTGGGATATATTAAAAAATGTCTTTTTTTTAGAATGTAAGATTCTTTTTTTTTATCTTTTTTTATTTTAAGCATTACTTTGGTGTGGAGGAAATAAACAGCTGCTATACCTGATTTACATTGTACCTTGAATGTTTTTCTACTCCCCTCCATTTGGGGAGACCCTAAGACATGAACCTAACCTCCGTTTTTTTGTTAATTGATTTTTTTTTTTTTAGGCAATTGGGGTTAAGTGACTTGCCCAGCGTCACACAGCTAGTGTCAAGTGTCAGGTCTGAGTCAGGATTTGAACTCAGGTCCTCCTGACTTCCAGGCCAATGCTGTATCCACTGAACCACCTAGCTGCCCCAAAACAACAAATTGTTTTTCTTCTTCTTTTTTTTTTTTGTCTAGGCAACAGGGTTAAGTGACTTGCCCAGGGTCACACAGGTAGTAAGTGTTATGTGGCTGAGGCCAGATTTGAACTCAGGTCCTCCTGAATCTAGGGCCAGTGCTCTATCCACTGTGCCACCTAGCTGCCCCCTAGAATGTAAGATTCTTGAGAGCAGAAACTGTTTTCCCCAGCGCGGTGCCCTGTATGCGTGTCCCCATTTCAACACAGTAAGCGCTTCATACACTTCAGTTGTTTTCTCAGATGGGAAATGCTTAGTTTATTCCTAAGGGTTCACTGATGTGTCACGAGGAGATGTCATCCTCTATGGAAATGGCAGGCGACATCTTCAGAAATATTCTGACGTCCCTGCTCACGGTTCTGTGTACATCCCTTTGTTAGCCCACGCGCGAAGGCTAATTACTGGTATACAACCATCATATGTGAATTTCCAAGGATATTCTTAGGGCACATTAAGAAACTGGAAATACCAAAATGAGGCAGCTGGCAGATTCCTGTCTTGCCTTAGATCATTTCATTCTTCAGTAGGTGGAGGAAATGACTTCAAAACTGGAGGGAACTCTGATTTTGGACCTGACTATGACCAACAAGAAGCTGAATGCTGGTGTAGAAAATATGGGTACCTTCAGTGGAAGTGATCAAGTGACTGCTCACGCTGTCTGTCTGGTGCCTCACGGAGGAGCAGATTTCAAAGAATTCAGAGAAAGATGGATGCCCAAAATGGTGGAGTCATGAGAATTTGAACTTTGGACCCCCCCACCTGGCCAGCTTTGCTGTCGCCTTGGTATGCAGGCCTTTGTTTTATCTGGGCCCAACACTCAAAGCATTGGCTGGCTCTGTGACCCAACACCAGCCATCCCATGCCCTGGGGCTCTTGACCATTCCAGGTGGCCCTGGGCCACATGTACTCCAGACCTGGCTGCTTTTCTACAACACCCATTTTTTCAAAAGCCCTGTTGGGGGGGAGAGACCCTAAATCAGTTAGTCCAGCAAGCTCAAAGTAAATAGCTAAAACTAATTCTTTGCACTACCCTCCCCAATCCCACCAGAATGACTGGGCAGGAGGAAGTTGACTCGGTGGTAGTGGGCCTGTCCCAAACGCACTCCTGTGACCTCTTTGGGTTTCTCATGACCCCTGGTCTATGTCCATTTGCATGTACTCCTCTCTTCTCCTGTCTTTGCCCTCTCCACTATACTCACACATGGGCTCTCATTTCCCATGCAGAGGCAGATAGGCAAATAGATAGAGAGATAAACAGAAAGAACATTTATTCATGGCTTACTGTGCTCTGAGTGCTGGAGATAACAGATACAAAAGTGAGAGTTTGGGGCAGCTAGATAATTCAGTGGATAGAGCACCCACCCTGCAGTCAGGAGGACCTGAGTTCAAATCTGGCCTCAGATCAAAGACCAGGCACTTACTAGCTGTGTGACCCTGGACAAGTCGCTTAACCCCAATCGCCTTAAAAAAAAAAAGTGAGAGCTTGCCTTCTAATAGGAGAAGACAACACCAGAAGGAGAGCTGGAAAATGAGTGGTCTTAGAAGCGGTGGGTCCTGGCAAAAGAAAAGAAAAGTTGATTATCAGAGCTGAGGGTCCAGGTCACCAGTGGCAGGAGGAGGAGGCATTGGTTTGTTTCAATGGATATAACACCGCATGATCCAGGAAGTGGCTGGAAGCTCAGAAGGAGGCTATTTCAACATACCCTGTCCATATCAGAGGAAGCTATTTGATAACTGTTCCCACAGTACCAGAATCATGGGTGGAGCAGTTCCTAGGATCCAGTACATTTAATTTTCCTGGCTATCTGCACAGGTGAGGAGCACCTTCCTTCATAAGCACCTCCCCTAAACCTCACTGTCTCAATCTGAAGCAGTTTTCATTTTAGGAACAAATCTCCTCACCCTCCCTTAGCATGGTATCATGTAGTATCACATAGTATAACATACTATCACAAATATCCCAAGATAACTTTTTGTCTACACCTATCTCATTGATTACCAGCATTTGGTAATGAATTGGAATGCTTCTTTAGATACTGGGGGTCAGGAGGGTGGCGCTATTTGAGACCTACCAGCAGTTCAAGGTCTTTTTCCTCTCAGAAACAACTCTTTCCCTTTCAGAATCTGTCATGATCTTTGTGACTAAACTGGGAAATATTAGCTGCAAGGAGGCAGTCAGGGGACTGTCAAGTAGTCATTAATGTATCTGTGTCATTGTGGAAGGAGATCTGCCATCTTGGGCCCCAGAAATCTGTTCTTGGATCTGTGCTAGTCAACGTTTTATTAGACTTGAACAAAGGCTTAAGCAGCACGCTTGTCAAATTTGCAGATGATGTAGAGACTCTAAGTAATTCAGAGGAAGTGACAGAGAGGAGAAAAATCTTCACAGAGCCCTTTAATTCAGAAGGATGTAGGCATGTGTGAGTTATTGCTAAGGGATATAAACAAATTGTAGGACTCATCCCACAGATAATTCAGGAAGGAAATAAGAAGGGAGGCTCATCAAGTCTATTTAGAAATTTCAGATAGATTCTAGCTGTGGAGATAGAAGTGACCTTAGGGACCTTCAAGGCCACGCCCCTCACTTTTACAGGGGAGGAAACTGAGGCAAACAGAGGTGAGATAAGTGTCTCAGGCACTCAGATGATTAATAGAGGACTCAGGACTAGAAGCCAGTTTTTTCACACTTCAGTGTTCATTTTCTTCTGTCTTCTATTATGTGTACAAAGAGCAGTTCATTCCATGTTAGGCAATTTCTTTCTCACTTAAATCCTCACTCAGTTAAATCAGAATCTCTCTCTCTCCTTCTCTCTCTCTCTTTTTCTTTCTCTCACTGTCTCTCTCTTTCTTCCTCCCTCTCCGTCTCTCCTTTCTCCTTCTGCTTCTCCTCTCCTCTGTCTCTCTGTCTTCTGTCTCTCCTTCCTCTCTCTTTTTCTCTCTCCCTCCTTCTCTCTCTGTTTCTCCTCTCTTCTGCCTCTCCTCTCTCTTCCTTTCTGCCTTCTGTCTCTTTCTGTCTCTCTGTCTTTCTCCTCTCTCTCTCTCTCTCTCTCTCTCTCTCTCTCTCTCTCTCTCTCTCTCTCTCTCTCTCTCTCTCTCTCTCTCTCTCTCTCTTTCTCTCACCAACCCAAAGAGTGATGTGGTTAGGGCTGAAAAACATGAACCTACGCTGAAAGCACATTTGTATCAAGGAAAAAAAGTCACAAGATTTGAAGTGAAATCAGCCATAAGAGCAAACCAATACCATTTCCTATCAAAGCCTTTTAGATGTCCTTGTAGTTCTATCAACAGGGTCCACAAAAATGTAATGATGTCCCTCTCCTGCTCAATAAACCCCCATGGCTCCCTAATACCTCTAGGTTCAAGCATAAGCTAGTCTGGCTTTTGAAGCCTTTCACAACCTGACTGCAGCCTACCTTTCCAGCCTTTTTTTTTTTTTTGGCTAAGCAAAGGGGTTAAGTGACTTGCCCAGGGTTACACAGCTAATAAGTGTTATGTGTCTGAGGCTGGATTTGAACCCAGGTCCTCCTCACTCCAGTAACGGTGCTCTAGCCACCTAGCTGCTCCCCTTTCCAGCCTTCTTCCACACCCCTCCCTGTCACGTACTTCTGTCCAACTAAAGGGGCCTCTTTGCTATGCTGCACACACAACATTCTATGCTTGGAATGTAGACTTTCCTCACGTCCAACCCGCAGAATCCCTAGTTTCTTCCTCACTGCCCTGAATTCTCTGTAGTCATGTCCACCTCTCTGCCTTTGCTCAGTCTATTATCCCTCAATTCAGTTCAATTCTACAAGCATTGATTAGGTACTGTGTAGATGCCAGGCCACGAGCTCAGTGCTGGGGACACAACCACTGCCCTGGAGAAGCCTCCATTGTCCATATGTCTTGTATGTAAGCTAATATAAAATATATTCCAAGTCATACAAAATGATCTACGAGGAAGAGTGCTGAACATCTAGAGGGACCGGGGGAAGAGAGGTGCAGGAAGAGGCCCCAGAGCTGTCCTCTGAGAAGCGGCCATGAGGACAATTGGGGTACAGCTTAGGCAAAAACCCAGGGGCACAGCCTGGCATACTGTGCATGGTATCAGCCAGAATCCAGGCTGGCGGAGGAGCTAGAGCTTCCTTCTTTCTCTGATTCCCATCAGCCAATCAACAGGTGACATCCTAGCTGCCTCTTTCAAGGCTAATGTCCTGCCCCCATTATGAAAGCTGCCTTGACTATGCCAGCCTTCAGGAATACATTTCTACATGTAGGATTGGAAAGGTTAGTATGTTCTTTAATTATTGCTCACCCCTTGCATAATGCTTGACCTCTTACCTAGATAGTAAGCTCTATGAGGGCAGGATCATATCTTATTGTAGTCCAATGCATTGTTTGGATAAAATCCTGGGTGCTGAGTCCAAAGCAAAGTTTTCTGCTGCCTTTCCCAACATGGTGGGGTGCAGAGTCAAGTCACAGGGCTGTGCAGGAGCCCGCTTCGAGGCTATTTCCTCCGTCAACGATGAGTAAGAATGGGGCAATTTTTCTTTCACATCTCATCCTTCCCTTTGGGACCCAGCCAAGTGCTTACTGAGAACTACTGTCCCCTGTCATCCCTGAAGGATTCGGGGTGAAACAGCAGTTTTTCTATTTAGAACAGATGACATCTAGGGGAAGGGGAAGAGGGGAAGATTGGCCTTGGGTGTGGATTCACCTTTGTGGATGCTCTATCTGAGAGTCTTGGCATCCTCTCTCCAGGAAATCGGGGGGGTCAGAGAGCAATAAATGGTTTCAGTGTTGAAAGAGGGGCAGTGGAGATCATGGAATCTTAGTGTCATCAATTTGGAGTTGGGAGGGACCTTTAGGGGCCATCAAGCTTAACTACCCACTCATTTCATAGATGAAAAAAAATCAACCAGAGGATTATAGATTTAGAGCTGGAAGGGCCAAAGGTCATCAAGTCTAACTACTCCTTCATGAGGTAAACTGAGGCTTAGAGAGTTTAAGTGACTAGCTCTGTGTGGCTCTGGGAAAGTCACAACCTCTGTTCCCCTATCTGTTAAATGGGGATAACAATAGCACCTACCTCCCAGGGCTGTTGTGAGGATCAGATGAAGATAAAAAAGTGATTTTAGATTTGTAACATACTCAGACCAGTGCCCAGTATGTAATAGGCACTTAATACATGTTTGTTTCTGTCCTTCCTTCCTTCAGTGTCTGAGGTCACATAGCCAGTAAGTATCTGAGGCAGAATTTGTACTCAGGTCTTCCTGACTCCAAGTCGTGGGTTCCACCTACTGTCTCACCCAACTGGCTTGTCAAACTGAGTCCCGGAGAGGTTAAATAACTTGTCCAAACTCACACAGGTTTGTTGGACTAGGATTTGAACCCAAGTCCTCTGTTTCCCAACCATCACATTATACTGTGTCTAAGAAGAAAATGATTTGAGAATCAGTGAATAAGAAAGCAAGAAACTTGAAAATATCCCAGCCATGCATCGGATGCAAGTCCCCCCCCCCCCAATAAAGCTGATTTATTTCTGTGACTAAACACAGAGCTTTAATTGGTGAATATATGATTGGGGAGGCTAATTAGTTATGCCGCACCAGACTGCCCTTACATGATGCATTTCTGTCGGTGGAATTAATCACCCCAGAGCAGATGCACTGGGGAAAGCCAAGGTTAAAGTGAAGAAATGATAGAGGAAGAATGAATGAGAACCCAGACTGATAACCTGGAGAACTCCAGGACTTATCATTATGTGAGAGTCTCTATGGGTTTGTGCACGCCCACTTCCCCTTTAGCCAGCTTGTCTGCAACGGCCCACATCGCCCCTTTGCATTCGCTTTTATCTGCCTCCGGAGGTAATAGAACTGTGACGAGAGCCAATGAGTTTTGCGCCTTCAAGAAGCGCCGCCTAATGTGACTTCAAAAACACAAAGGAAGAATGGATTGCTCGTCTCCACAGAAGGACAAGGCAATTCCATCCTTGCAGGGCCAGAGTCCCAGGAGGTCAGCTTCGTCAACTAAAGGACAGTGGCTGACATTCCCAGTGACTCCACGTGTGCTGAAATGAGCACCGTCCCTCCATTGTAACATTACCCAGTAATCGAGCGCAAACTTTCCGCCCCTGAATGATGGCTATCAAAAGATTACTTTACAATTCCATGCCCATCAAGGGGGCAGGATGACAGTGCTGGGGTAGCAGGGCTCTGTGGTTCGGGGGTCATATGGAAAATGGGTCCAAGGCATGGTAGCTGGAAAAGCTGAAATATTCTTGGGCTCCATTGCATCACAGTTTTTCACAGTTGCCTCAATGTGTCCAGGAAACTATCAGCGTGTTGCAAAAGCAGGGATGTGGAAAAAACAAAAACAAAGAACAAAATAAATAAATAAATAAATAAATAAATAAAAACAAAGCTGATCCACCGATGTGTGGTTGGGCCTGGCCAAGGAGAAAAGTTCCAAGTACTTCCTCTGTGTTCCACTTGCCTCAATCAGGACCCATTTAGCATGACCCAAGAGGGCACCCGTCGCCAAATGCTGGTGTGATTGTTCTAGGGCAAAGCCAGTTGTGAGGAGGACAAGTCAGTCTTCTCTTTCTCTCTCTCCATTAGAATAATGATCATAGCTCACATTTCACTAGAGGCTGGAGAGCTGACTTGCAGCCAAGAAGACATCCCATTCTCTTCAGGCTGTGTGACCCTGGGCACATGGCTTACCCTCTCAGTGCCCCAGGCAACTCTCAAAGATTATACATCCCAGTTGAAGTATCGACTGGCTTGAGGGAAGGATTCCCCTCTTGGAACTCAGTATTGCAAGAAAGTCTCGCAAACAAAAGGCAAACAAAGAAAACCAGTTAATTTTTCAGCCTTTTAAAATGTGCGAAGTTCACTGCAATATGTCATTTCACTTGCTCCTCAGAACAAGTCTGTGACTTTAGTGCTATTATTATTGTCTTTTACAAATGAAGAAACTGAGATTCTGAAAGGGAAAGTGATAGTTCTCAAGGTCACACACTGTCTGAGGCAGGATTTGTATCCACACCATCTTCCTGACTCCGTGTCCTGTAGCCTGTCCTCTAGGTCATGTTGCCTCATGAACAAAGCACTCATTTTTAGTCACTGGAAAGGAAGAGGAATAACTTGTTTCTTTCATGTTCCGCCTTCCCCTCCTCCTCTTGCAAGGTGAGATCCCATCCAGGCTTGCCAGGTACAACTTGCTGCTAAAAACAGAGGGTCTATTTTTCCATTCCCTTCCCCTTTTCCTGCCTTTTCCCACTACCCAGACTCTATTAGGGTGCTAGGCAGGAAAAGCTATTAGTGGGACGCCTTTCCCTTTTTCCCTCTTTCCACCCCAAGGGAGATTAGGCATCCTAAGCCACCAGCATGCACCCTTCCCTTTGTCCTTCTCCCATCCCCCAGAGCAGGGAACATAGCTCAGCATACCCCTATGAAGGAAGGACGAAAAGAAACAACTGTTTATTAAGCGGCTATTACGTGCCAGGCACTGTCCCTTACAAATCCTAGCTCACTTGATCCTCACAATAACCCTGGGAGGCAGGTTCTATTATAATCCCCATTTTATAATTAAGACTGAGCTAGACAGCAATTAAGTGACTCAGAGTCGTGTAGTTACTATGCATCTGAGGCTAGGTTTGAATTTTAGGGGGAATTCAAAGATTTAGGGGGAGAAGAGAAGGGAGAGACTTTTAGAAGGGCAAGTAGATTGAACTAAGATATTCTTGACTTCAGGTTCAAAGCTCTATCTGCGGCACTACTAACTGTCTTGGAAAAGTTGGGAGTCACCAACTGCTAAGGTCCACCTGAGGGACCAGCAGCCCTTGCCATCTACCATCCTGCTGTGCCCACCAGACCCCCAGCACCACCATCTGACCTTCCAATTCACTCTATGAATTTCCTGCCTCACTACTCATTCTGCATAGGATCTCTCTTTATGCTTCTCTCTCTAAGAGTGTGAGCTCCTTGAGATCAGGGACTGTGAAGTAGGTGCTATTGTTCTACACGTTTTATAGACAGGGGATTGAGGCTCAGGCGAGTTGAGTGACCAAGATTCCATAGCTAGTGAGTGTTAGAGGGGAAGAAGAGAATTGACATACCATAGGCTTCAGGATACAGTGACAAGAACAAAACAAGCCAACAACCCCTCAATCCCTGCCCTTCAGAATCTTGCATTCTATTAGTAGACCTAATCTGTGGACAGAAAAATAAATCTGGGGGAGTGTGAGGAAGGGCAGAGCATGAACAGCGAAGAGGACTGAAAAAGCCCTTTGGGGGGACCACGAGACAAAGGAAGTAGGGGAGTCTTAGAGGTAGAGGTGAGCAGGGGGTGCATTCTAGGCAAGGCAGAAGAGCCTGCCTGCTCAGAGGCACTGTGAGGAGAGATGGAAAGCGAAGTGTGTGGCACGGCTACTTGTCGAGTTTGGCTGCAACACAGAGTGTTGGAAAGGGGGAAATGTGAAGGAAAGCTGGAAAGAGAGGCTGCAGCCAGATTTTGGAAAGCCTTAAATGCCAGGCTCCATAAGGGGTTTAAAAATGAATTGGTATAAAATGGTTGTTGGAAAACACTTGCCTCAAGGAAACATGGTCTCTTATTTTCTTCCTGCTTTCTTTTCACAAAAGTTCTATTTATTGTATGAACATTTCATGTTAGTTTTTAAAAAAAGAATGCTCAAGAAAAATGCTACGTAACCAAGCAAGTAAGGTCTGAGAAATGAGCTGATTTCTTGTTCAGAACTTTTCATCTTGAGTCTGAAACTCGACTCAATTCATGTTTTGTTGGAATAATGAGTTATTCCAGCCTTATCGGTAATGGGTGAGACTGAATGTCTGTTCAGTTCAGTCCCAATGCCCCAAGCACTGATTAAAAGCCTATCCTGGTGCATACTGACTACAGAGCCAGCCCCGGAGTCAGAAGAACTTGGATCCAAGACACACTTTGGGCACATACTAAGTCGGGGCTCTGGGTGAGTACCTGCCCTTGGGGGATTATTTCCTATTTATCCTGTCTACAAGTCATTTGTGTGGAGTTGTCTGCGTGTTGCCTACCCCATTAGATTGTGAGCTCCTCAAGGGCAGGGACTGGCTCTTGCCTGTCTTTATATCCCTAGCACTTAGCACAATGCTTGGCACATAGTAGGTGCTTAATAAATGCATATTGATTGACTGACAATCTCAGTGCGTTGACAACTAAGACTTTCATAGATGACTTGTTGGCAGTTTCCCACCTGGTAGAATCATGGGTCCAGACCCCCCCAAAATGTTCAAAAGACACCTCATTTCTCATCTCTTTGCCTTTATACAGGCCACTCCTTCTCATTTCTACCTCCTAGAACTCAGCTTACATGCTATTTTTTTTTCAGGAAACTTTCCCTAATTCCTTCTAATACTTTCTCATAGCCATCCCCAACCCTCCACCTTCAATAACATAAATTTCCTTGAATATGTGGCTCATAAGCTTTGGACACTTATCTCTCTCTCCCATCTACC